TGGGCTCTGGTGCTGTGGGCTAGAGATCCCCGCTTTTGGTTTAGACCCCGCTGTTCTCTGGCGGATCCAACTGGCCGTTTCAATATCCTTCTGGTGCCCTGCCCACCTTCTCGAGTCTCTACTGCATTCCTTACTGGTTAGATTGTGCTAAAGCTGATTTTTCTGTCTCCAAAGTTACAAGGCTCCTCTCTCACTTTTGTTCAGTTGTTTGTTTCAGGTGATTTCTCCACAATTTAGTTGTAATTCCTGGTTGGTCCTGGGAGGAGGTCAGTGTGACTTCCACTGACTCCTCTGCCATCTGGATTCCTCAGAAAGAGTCTTTGGAAAGTGAAAGTTGAAGCAGACTTGGAAATTCCTGAATTTTGTATGTACTGTCCAATCCACACCCAGCTCCACTGATAGAGAGTGGAAGCTTTATGGGCCAGGAGTGTTTGAACACAACCTGTGACTGACTATTGGCTAACCACTAAGCATGCACAAACAAGTGTGATTCCCAGGAAGTCAGAATAAAATAATAAACAAAAGGGTAAAAAAACACACAACAAAAAAAAAATCTGAGAAGAGACATTAGCAGCTACATATTACAGAAGAGATTCTTCATATTAAATCTAGGCAAGTTATTAAAATACCAAGCTTTTGATGTCAACATATCAGAATTCAGGGTTGCTACAATATTTTATTTAAAATGTCTAATTCCCACAAAAAAATTCTGAGACATGCAATGAAATAGGAAATGTGATCACGAGGGAAGGCAGGGAACAGTCAATTGAGACTGATTCTAATGTTGAACTTAGCAGCAAAGACTTTAAAGCTGCTCTTACGTATAAATATGTTAAAAGAATTAAAAGAAATGATGCTTAAATAATTTTAAAGGAAAACATGATATGACTCACAAATTGGAAAACTCAAGTAAGGAAATTGAGAATATAAAAGGAGAACCAAACATAAATTGCAGTTAAAATTATGATAACCAAAATAAAATAGTCACTAGATGATCCTGAGTGACTTTGAGATAGTGAAAGAAACTAAACCTGAAGATAGAGCAATAGAAATTATTCAATCTGAAGAACAGAGAAAAAAAGATGGGAGAGAAAAAGAACAGAGCTTTGGACACCTGTGGGACAACATTATGCATACCAATATATATATACTTGGAATCCCAGAAGGAGATAAAAAAGAAAGAGGCAGAAAAAATGTCTTTTCAGATATTTATTGTTAGTGGATAGAAATGTAACTGATTTCTGTATGATGATTTTGTATCCTGCAACTTTATTGAACTTGTTGATTAGTTCTAAGAGTTTTTGGTGGAGACTTTAGGATTTTCTATGTAAAATAAATATTATATCATTGGCAAACAAAGACAATTTTACCTCTTTCTTTCCAACTTGGATACATTTTAAATTGTTTTCTGCCCTGTTGATTTGGCTAGGACTCCCGGCATTCACCAGAATTCAGAGTAGTGAGAGTGGGCAACTTTGTCTTGTTTCAATCTTAGAGGAAAATCTTTCAACTTTTCACCATTGCATATGATGTTAACTGTAGGCTTTTGGTACATGGCCTTTATTAAATTGAGATATGTTCCTTTTATACCCATTTTGTTGAGTGTTTTTATCATGGAAAGATGTTGTACTTTTGTGAAATGCTTTTTCTGCATGTATACAAATAATCATGAGATTTTTATCTTTCATTGTATAAATGTGATATATTACTTTTATTTATTTGCCTATGTTGAAACATCCTTGCATCTCTGGAATTAATCCTGCTCGATCATGGTACATGATCCTTTCAATGTATCATTGAATTTGGTTTGCTAACATTTTGTTAAGAATTTGTTTATCTATATTTATTAGGAATATTAAAATTTAGTGTTCTTTTCTTCTATTGTCCTTATCTAACTTTGGAATCAGGATAGTGATGGACTCATAAAATGAGTTTGGGAGTATTCTCTTCTCTTTGATTTTTTAGAAGAGTTTGATATCCTTCAGCTCCATAATCTCTGCTTGGTTCTTTTTTTAAAAATGATTTCCATATCATCATTAAACTTCTCATTTGGTTTGTGTATTGTTTCCTGATTTCCTGTTGAATTGTCTGTCTGATTTTCTTGTAGTTCACTAAGTTTCCTTAAAACAGCTATTTTGAATTCTTTATCAGGTAAATTATAAGTCAGATCTCCTTGTCTTTGGGTTCAGTTACCAGAAGATTATTGTGATTCCTCGGTGGTGCCATGTTACTTTGCCATGTTACTTTGATTTCCATGTTCCTTGATGTTTTGCATCCATGTTTTCTAAGTCACCTCCTGCAGTCTTTACTAACTACATGGGGGAGAAAGATACCTTCCATCAGCCCTGCTAGAGACTCTGAGGCTTTCTCAGATTTTCTGACTACACCTGCTCCATGCTTCTTGCTCCCTCTTGTGGCAGAATTTTGAAACTTGTATGCTTTCTCTGGATCCTGCATTGTACCAGACTCAGTGCTCATGACCATTCTTTTGTTTCCCCACACGTGGCCCTAAAGCTGAAGTGTGCGTTCTCTCCTTGGCCTGCACGTTTAGCCAACATCCTGTGTGTGCTCACTGGCAGCCTGCCATGACCCACTTATGCAACTGTCAGGATCATACCCAGGGAGCTGGCCACAGAGCTGGGTTGCAGGGCGGGGAGATGGGAGAGAGGGGTATGAGGCATGCATAGCACTTGGGTGCCCATGTACCAGTTGGAATCCATCTGTGCTGAGGCACTCCTAGCAGCTTGTGGGCAGACTTATTGATGGAATAAATCCATGAGGCAATTAGGATATATGTGCCTTTAATGTCCTCCACAAATTCTATCTGCAGCTCCCACAACCTCTTCCTACTCTCCAAATTACAGAATTCTGGATTTAGTACTCTGGATGGGGCAAGAGAGAAAAGAACCCATTTGACAGGCACAGCTGGGGAAGTAGGGTACTCACTCTCATGATCTCCCTTTACCTGTAGGATAAATCAAGGGCCAGGGAAGATCTTTCTTCCTTCTTGGCCCTAAGCTGAGTCACCTTGGTAGCGGGGGTCATGTAGGTAAAGTCAAACTGTTCTTACCTTCTCCAGTGCATCCTAATTCATTACTTTTCTCCAACGGAGTGCTGGGTCTTCTCCTCTGAGAACCTGTACAAAGGCTCTCTCCTCTGTGAATAACTGTCTTAAGTCAGTATTCACAAGGGGCTCCCAAAGCATAGCCAAGAGGAGCCAGTTCATGGACTACAGCAGGGTCTCCACAGCCAAGACCCAGATCTGTCTACCCGCAGGAGGAGACTCTTCCCAGGTCACTTGGCTGTGGTCCTGGATTCCACAGCTCCCTCAGCTGTCAATTGTCAAAGGGTGGGACAATATTAAGAATGTCTTAGGCTGGTGTGATGCAGACATCACCCCCTCTTCTCTTCTTAATGTCCCCTTATCCTAACATATATTTCTAAACTGACAGCTTTTTTAATGTCAATTGTTTCCTAGGAGCAGAACCCAAAATAGAGACTCATTGGTGAAAGTGACTTAATGCCTTTACTCCAAGTGATATGAGAATCTAGTGGTGAGTTTTGAGTAAATGGGAATAAAATAACTTAGATTTTGAAGGAATAATTTTTGCTGCTGATGTTAAAAATAGATGGAAGGGCATCATGGGTGAACTCAGTGACATCAGTTAGAAGCTATTGCAATAATCTGGGTGAGAGATAATTGTGACTTGGACCAAGTGATAGCAGTGGAGATGTTAAGATATGGTTGACTTCTACATACATTATGTAGGAAGTACAGCTCGCAGAATTTGCTGCCAGATTGGCTGTAATATGTAACAGAAAAAGTGACTTAAAGGAGGACATTAAGATTTTGGGAAAGTGTTAGAAAGAACAAAGGTGTCACTACTAACATGAAGAAGACTGTAGGATAGGAAAGAGTAGATCTTTTTCAGTTTTTGACACGTTAAATTTGAGATTCTCACTAAACATCTGTTTAGAGATGATGAATAGGTAATTAAATATTTAAGTCCCTATAACAAGTGAGAAATTTAAGTTAGAGATACAAACTTACAAGTTATTAGCAGACATATATATTGCATTTGAAGCTGCAAGGCTCAATGAAATCGCAAAGGAAGTGAGTGTAGATATAAAAGAGAAGAGGACTAAAGTCTGATTCCTAGAGCACTGTAATATTACAAAGTCAGGAATAAACCAGAAGAGGAAATGAGACAGAAGGAGGCAGGCAGCAAACCAAGAAATATTAACTCTTGGAAGTCAAGAAAAGAAAGTTTGTGAAGGAATAGGGAGTGATACTTGTGTCAAATCTTATTGTTAGATCATGTAAGTAAGGCCTGAGATGTGAGTAATGGATTTAATGAGGTGAAGATCATTGGTGACTTTGACAAAACAGTTTTAGTAGCGTTGTTAGGCAAAGGTCTGATTGAAGTGGGTATAAGAGTGAGTGGGGTCCTGACTTGGCATCTCTAAACCTAGATAGTTCAGAGAGCACACAAAGTAGCCAGGAAGCTTGAGATGAAGCTGAGCTCCTCCTTCCTGGACCTCAGGGCAGGCAGGATCAGCAGGCAGGCTAGCCAGTGAAGAGGGATGTGGTGGGCCTTGGCTGGACAACAAAGCTGGGAATCTGGGAGCACACTAAAGACCGTTGGGCAGTGTGGCCCCTGAATTCTGCACTTCATTGAATGAACTCTAATTTCTTCCTTGGGACAGATTCCAGAAGAGCCAGGTGTGATAAATTGAAGAACCCTAGTTGCTCCAGGGCTTTTGCCAGAAACTGAAGTCTATTTCCTGATCCTTGGGCCACACTCTGGAAAAGCCTTTGGGAAGTCTCCCTACCTCAAGTTCATCTTGCCAAAATGGAAGAGAGCCTAGGGCCAGGCAGACTGGTTCAATAATTGGACAAGGAGAGCTACAGTTAAGATCTATGACCAGGAACTGTTTTCATCTAACAATAAAGTTTTTGATCTATCAGGAAGCTTTAAAAAAAAAAAAAGAGTGAATGGGTGTTGTATGAAAGGAGAGAAAGTCAGCACTCCCCTCTACAAGGTGGAAGGGGCTCTTGGGCCTGACAACAAACATGTGGTATATGGTTAAGACATTGATACTTACTTTGTGGTATATAATCATATTTTTATGCTAAGTGAAATGAGTCAGAGAAAAACAAATACCATATAGTTTTACTTATATTTGGAATCTAAAAATAAAAACAAATAAACCAACAAACAAAGAAAAAAAAAACATACTTAAGAATCAGAGACCAAAGAGGTGGTTGCAGAGGGCTTAAGGATGGGGGATGGGTGAAAAAGATGAAAGGGAATATAGGCAATAATATTGTGATAAGTTTGCATGGTGACAGATGATTGCTAGAGTTAATGAGGTGATCACATTGTAAGGCATTTAAATGTCAAATCACATTGTACACTTGAAAATAATATAATATTGAATATCAACTACTCATAAATTGAAAAAATGATGAAAGAAAAAAATTAGAAATATCAAGTAGAAACAACATTTAATAAAATTTTATATTAAAAAAATGGGGTTGAGCATTAGTTGAAGGAGGATCTTGGGTCAAGAGAGAATGGATTTTAAAAAACAGAATGATAGTTTCTTTGTAGGCTAATGCAAAAGTTCCAATAAAGAAGAAAAATTGGTGCTACTAGAGAGGTAATATCTGTTGAAGTGTTGCCCTAGAATAGGTTAATGGGAATGGGATCTAGTTTATAGATGGTAGTTGGCATTTGCTAGAATTTTATATCCTCTTGATGGAGTCATCCGTTTATCATTATAAAACATTAATTTTATTTCTGGTGATTTTCCTTGATCTGAAATCTACTTTCTTTAGGTTATTTAGCTACTCCACTTTTCTTTGAATTAATGTTAGCATATATCATTTTCTATCCTTTTACAGTTAGACTCTAAAGGCCATTATACTTAAAGTGTGTTTCTTATAGATAGCATAAAGTTGAATCTTACTTTCTTATCTAATATGACAACCTCTGCCTTTTAATTGGACTGTGTAGAATATTTACAATTAATGTAATTATCAATATAATTGAGTATAAATATACCATCTTGCAATTTTTTTCTACTTGTCACATATATTCTTTCCCCTTCTTTTTTTGGATTAAGTAGTTTGTTTGTTTGTTTGTTTGTTTATTAAATCCACGCTCAAGGGCTTGGTAATTGATTTTAGAGGGAAGGGAGGGAGAAAGAGAGGAAGAAAAACATTATTCAGTTACTTCTTGCATGTGCCCTAACTGGGGACTAAACCACAATCCAGACAGGTGCCCTGACCAGGAATTGAACCCACAAACTTCAGTTTATGGGATGGTGTTCCATTGGTTTATCTCTTTTGAGTCACCTCGCTATGCCTTCAAATATAGTTCTTTGCATTATCAAAGTCTACCTTGAAATATATATTATTTCACATATATGGTTAAGAACTTTACAAAAGTATACATTTACTTCCTTCTCATCCTTTGTGCAATTGTCATATACTTTACTTCTACATATGTATAAACTTCTCAATATATTGTCATTATTTTTACTTTAAACAATTATTCTTTCAGGATATTTTTTTAATGAGAAAAATTCCCCTACATTTGTTTATATACTTATTTTTGTTGCTCATTACTCCTGTGCAGGTCCAAATTTCCCGTCTGGTGTTATTTTTCTCCTACCTGTAGAACTTTGTTTACCATTTCTTATAGCACAAATCTGCTGGAAATGAGTTGTCTTAATTCTTTCCTGAAAGTGTCTTTGTTTTGCTTTAATGAAAAACAATATATTGAGGTATAATTATCTTGCAATAAACTGCACAAATTTAAAGTACAATTTGAGAGTTCTAGTCAAGATGGCAGAGTAGGAAAATGCTGTGTTTGCCTCCTCCCATCACCACAGCAAAATTACAACTAAATTATAGAATAACCTACTTGGAGAACCATCCGAAGGGTAGGTGAACAGGTGTCCTATAATTAAAAATATAAAGATGCCATGTTGAGACTTGTAGAAGGGGAAGAGATGTGAAACAGGTTGGCCACACACCTACATGTGGTGGTCGAAAATTAGGAAAAATATTTAAGCTTCAGAGTTCTCCACTGAGGAGTAAGTGGTCCCAGCCCAAACCAGGGTCTCCAGCCAGGGGCACCAGTATCAGAAAGAAGAGCTCCCACAAGATATGGCTGTGAAAATCAGTAAGGATTCCATCTGACTGGGTGGGTTAGAAGGAAGCCAGAAACCCAAGCATCCTCTTAAAGGGCCTGCACACAGATTCACTTGCTCTCAGGCACTCACTCTTGGCTCAAGCAAAGGGACAGTGGCTCAGGAGGTGTCAGAGACATATAGGGAGAATGTGAGTTGTGTGGCTTCAGGGTAAGAGCTGGACAGACAACTGCCATTATCTATATGCTGAGCCCTCCTCCAACAAAGTTGACAGGTAGGTATAATCTTTCCTGTGTTTAGCAGGAAACTCCTCTACCACAACCAAATCTGAATCTACATTAGCCTATGAATACCACTTGTACCACTCTGATCATTTTCAGTGGCCTACCCCACCCAACTCATATAATCCAAGAGGCTCTTTTAGTAACAGACAGCCAGACTTGGCCCACACTACAGTCTTCCCTAAAAATAAACTCAAAAGTATTCAGTCCCCAGGTAGGCAGTGGCTGACCTTCATATACCTTATGTCTTTTCCTTAATGCACCCAGGCTCACCACTGTTGCCAAATCTCAATCTAGATTAATACAGTGAACAACATTCACCTCAACCTGGTGACTCCTTGAGACCCTGCCACATCAAACTCGCAAATCCCAGAGGTTTTTTCAGTGACTGAGCCTTATAGGCAACTGTCAGTTTGTGGTAGACCTCCGTGTCTTTTGCTGAGTAGACCCATACCTGGTACTGGTGATAGCTGGCCTTGGTTTGCATTGTAGCTTTTCTCACATGTCTCCAGGCCCAGCAGAGGCAGCTACAAACTACAGATTTTTTGTAGCTCCTATCAGAAGACCTTGTGCCAGTCACAGTGAGCAGCTAAACTTGGTCTTCCCTGAAGTCCCTTGGAAGAGGCCCCAATACCAACAAATCTGGTGGCCATCTTCAGACCACAACAGACCACTACTCACTTAGCTACATAAGTAGCACACTCAAATGGTAGTCTCAGCAGGCAAACAGAGCCCACTGGAGCAAATCATGCTCTTTTGGGTCAGCCTCTTCACAGCAGCTTGTATGCTGTATTCAAGGTCAATCCTCTTAGCTCATAAGCCTGGGGGTCTATCCCACCCATGTATGTGCCAACAATAATCAAGGCTCAACTACAACAGAGGAGCAAACACAACCTACAAAAGAGACACTCCTGGAGCACCTGGCTTAGGTAGTCAAGAAAACTGCACCACTGGGCCCCACAGACACTTTCTACATAAGACCATCCTGCCAAGACTTGGAGATGAAGAAGATCTACTTAATACACAGAAACAAACAGAGAGGCAGCCAAAATGAAAAGACAATGAAACATGCCCCAAATGAAGGAAAAGGAGAAAACTCCAGAAAAAGAACTAAACAAAATGGAGGCAAGCAAACTACCAGACACAGAGTTCAAAACATTGGTTATAAGGATGCTTAATGAACTAAAAGAAAGATTACATGAACTCAGTGAAAACTTCAACAAAGAGATAGTAGCATAAAAAAGGACAGAGAAACCATAAAAAATAAATCAGTCTAAAATTAAGAATACACTAGCTGAAATGAAGAATACACTAGAAGAAATCAATATCACAATAGATGAAGTAGAGGGTCAAACTAGTGAATTAGAAGACAAGGTAGCAGAAAACAATCAGAAGAGCAAAGAGAAAAAAGATTTTAAAAATAGGGATAGTTTAAGGGACTTCTGAGACAATATCATACATTACATTTGTGTCATAGAGGTACATAGAGTTCCAGTGTCACGAAGATAATTCCCCATAATTTTTGGCTGTACAAACCAGTGGGACTGGGGTGGCAGAAAAAAAACTACAGGATTCTCAAGTATCTCCTCTTAAAGGGCCTGCAATGAACTTAGGACTTATGTAGTCTCACTCCCCCTGGGCTCCAGCAACAGGGCAAGAGCTGAAAGGGCACCAGTGGCAAACAGGGAGAAACTGTGATATCAGGGGGAGTGCTGGGGGACGGACTACTCCAAGAAAAAACTCCAGATGTCAGGCAGTGGCCATTTTCCCTTTTCTGAGACCTCACTCACAGGTAGCCACAGAGTGGCAATATCATATCTAAGACTCCATCAACCTAGTTCACATGGGTTGCCCTGTCCTGGCATTAACCTAAAGCCCTGCCCCATCCAAATAATAGGTGTCCTTTTCTACAACAGGCTACATTACTAAAACAGAGATTCAAAGCAGATCTACCTTATACATAGAAACAAACACAGGAGGCTGCCAAATTGAGGAGAAAAAGAAATATGGCCCAAATGAAAGAACAGAATAAAACTCCAGAAAAAGAACTAAACAAAACAGAGATAAGCAATTTATCAGATGCAGAGATCAAATCACTGGTTATTAGGATGCTCAAGGAACTCACTGGGTACAGCAATAGCATAAAAAAGACCCAGGCAGAAATGATGCTTACACTAAGCAAAATAAAGAAAAATTTGATATTAATAATTGAAGGAGACAGTCACAGACAGTAGATTCCTGGAAGTCTTGAAAAGATACCTAAAGTCAGACAGGGTCAACACCTGACATTGTCAGAGGCAGATCCAGAAAGAAAGAAAAAAAAACTGGTCTCCTACCATTGAAGTTCACACCACAAAGTCAGGAAGTCAAGACAGATCAATTAGGAAGCAGAAGCAAAAAAAACAAAAAACAAAAAAGAATCTCACAAATAATGCAAATAAAAAGAAACACCTCACAATCAAAGGGAAAGGAGGAATCCCCAGAAAGATAACTAAATCAAATAGAAGCAAGTAAACAATCAGATGCTGAGTTCAGAACAATAGTTCTAAGGAAGCTCAATGTGCTCAGGGAGCTCAGAGAAAATTATCAAAAACTCCAAAGAAACTATGAGGCACTTACTACAAATTATATCAGGCTGAAAAAGGACATAGAAATGCTCAAAAAGAGGCAAGAAGAAATGAAGAACACAA